AGCGGCCGGCTGCGTGGTGCTTAGTTGCCAGCCGGGTTAAACCACGACACTCCAGTAGCACTCACAACCTCCAAAACAGTCTTCAGATATTAAAAGCCAACACAGTCCAAAAGTTTTCAATTCTTCAGTGGTTGCCTGAGATAATTTTTCTAGTTACAGGATAAAATATGGTTTTCAAATACGCAAAGTGACTTAGATGGTTGGAGTTTAGACAGCTAGTTTTCTTCATGTGTTCTGGTAAAAACAGATCTTAGGAGAAATTTAAATCAGTAAAATTTAAATCAGAAAAAAAAAACAAACCCAAAACCCTGGCTTTACACCTACAATTCCCCAATACAAAAGCAGACAACTATTCTCCAGGAAGAGATCATGGGAAGATCCACCACATATCACCAGCAGAGAAAAGGGATCAGACACACCAATTTCAAGCTATACACAGTACATTAAAAATTATCAACTTCTGAATACTTTAGAGATAAAACAATTAAAATCTACAGTCTAAACTATTATCAGTTTGTTTTTAATACAGTGTGGGAAGAAAAAAAGTTTTTTCTTATAAGCACATCTGAAATACCATGCTACCTTTGCATGTGCATCAATTTATGAAGAAGGATGGAAAGAGATTTAAATCTTTTATATAGCAATGGCAATAAAGATTATCTAGAAATGTCATCTCTTTGAAAGAATGGTTTAATTATGTTCAAACTATTATTTAAACTCAGCCTCATTCAATCCTTCACACAGTGAAGTTTTAAATCCCATTCTATCACACATTAAATATTAATGCAAACTAGGAAATTAAAAACAAGAAAACAGGATGAATCAAAATAGAAAAAAAAAAAACCAGATGTTCCAAAAAGAGTCCACAGAAAAAGCATTGAGAGAAGTATACTGAACAAATGTATTTTCTTCTATTTTGAGAAAAGACTTGTCTTGTGACTCAGTGGGACTCAAGCAACATATGTGGGTTCAATTTCTGTCTCCCCCAGAGCCATCCTGTGTGACCCGAGAACGGTCAAACTCTCTCTCTCCCTCTTTCCTAACTGTAAAATGGAGATTACACATCCTTTTTCACACTGCCTGTGTTGTCTGGTTAGAAAGCAATTTTTTCAGGATGGGAAGCACAGAGCCAGATATAGATGGGAACTCTCAAGCAGCACTGAAATACAAATAAATATAATAAAAAAATAAATCTCTGCACAGCAAGGCTAAACCTGTAACCTGTGGCTATTCTGGTTTCTTATTTTTTCTTTCTCTTTTTCTCTTTTGTTTCTTTCTGTGGCTATTCAGGTTTCTTCTGAACACTCCTTTGCTCAGATGAACAGAATGTTCACAGAAATACCCAGCAAAGATTCTTTAAAGTTAGGAAAAATTCCTAAATTATATTATCTTTTCTAATTAGCCCACAAAAGACAGCAAAATCATATTGATGTTGCATGTTTAGACACTATACTCTTCATCAAAACA